TTTATTTTTTAAATCTTTATTGTTCAGATTACATTTGTTCCTCTTTTTTTTTTCCCCCATAACTCCCCTCCTCCCAGTTCCCACCCCACCCTCCGCCCTCACTCCCCACCCACTGTCCTCATCCATAGGTGCACGATTTTTGTCCAGTTTCTTCCCGCATCTCCCATTCCCCTTTCCCCCCCAAGAATAGTCAGTCCATTCCCTTTCTATGTCCCTGATTCATTATAATCACCAGTTCATTCTGTACATCAGATTATTTATTCACTTGATTCTTAGATTCACTTGTTGATAGATGCATGTTTGTTGTTCACAATTTGTATCTTTACCTTTTTCTTCTTCCTCCTCTTAAAGGATACCTTTCAGCATTTCGTATAATACTGGTTTAGTGGTGATGAACTCCTTTAGCTTTTCCTTATCTGTGAAGCTCTTTATCTGACCTTCAATTCTGAATGATAGCTTTGCTGGATAAAGTAATCTTGGTTGTAGGTTCTTGGTATTCATCACTTTGAATATTTCTTGCCATTCCCTTCTGGCCTGCCAAGTTTCTGTTGAGAAATCAGCTGACAGTCGTATGGGTATTCCCTTGTAGGTAATTGAGTCTCTTTCTCTTGCTGCTTTTAAGATTCTCTCTTTGTCTTTTGCTCTTGGCATTTTAATTATGATGTGTCTTGGTGTGGTCCTCTTTGGATTCCTTTTGTTTGGGGTTCTCTGCGCTTCTTGGACCTGTAAGTCCATTTCTTTCACCAGGTGGGGGAAGTTTTCTGCCATTATTTCTTCAAATAGGTTTTCAATATCTTGCTGTCTCTCATCTTCTGGCACCCCTATTATTCTGATGTTGGTACGCTTGAAGCTGTCCCAGAGGCTCCTTACACTATCTTCGTATTTTCGGATTCTTTTTTCATTTTGCTTTTCCGGTTGGGTGTTTTTTGCTTCTTCGCATTTCAAATCTTTGGCTTGATTCTTGCGCTCCTCTGGTCTGCTATTGGGTGTCTGTATAATATTCTTTATTTCAGTCCGTGTATGCTTAATTTCTAGTTGGTTCTTTATCATAGCATCGAGGGTCTCATTAGTTTTCGTGACTCTCTCCTCAAGTTTATTGACAGCTTCTAGCACATTTTTGCAAGCCCTCAAAATTGCGATTTTTAGCTCTATATCCTCCATTTCTGTCATGTTTTTTTGTCTCCGCATTTTTTATGCTTTCTTGGTGCACCCCCTAGTGGTCTTTGTGCGCAGTCTTGTTCTAGTTGAGCCTTGATTGTTGTAGTTAATACTAGAGGGATTTGACCACCAGGCCGACTGGCTGTGTGAATCAGCTGTGTCTGCCGCGGAAAACTTCTGTCCTCTGGGGAGGTGCTAATCTAGCCTTTGCCTGAGGCGATCCGGCAAATGGCTCTGCGCAGGGCTTGGGCGGGGCGGGCTCAACAGGGCGGGCGGAGGGAGCCGTTATGGTGCCCTCAGTCCTGTTCCCAGAGGCTCTGCTTCTCAGAACCCCCGGAACCGCTGCAAACCTCGGAGGGAAAGCTGCCTTCCAACTGATGCCAGACACTCCCGCTTCTCCCGTTTGGGTCCGAGTCCCCAGCGATTCGCCCGTATCTGGAGCTCAGAGTCTGAGACTCCCCCCTGACCGAAAACGACAACCGCGCTCTCAGCCACCAGCCCGCTTTGCGCGCGCACCTCCGCACCTGAGTATTTTCCACACTGCGCCTCCTCTGAGCCTCGGTGTGCTGTTATTTTTCCTTCTAGTTGAAGAGTCTCTCCTCAGCCAGCCTTCCTGCGGTTCTGGGTGATGTCCGTTCCGTCTTTTAGTTGTATTTTTGAAGTGGTTGTTTGCGGCAGCAGTCTGTGGTGTTTACCTATGCCGCCATCTTGGTCTCCACGAAAATAATTTTATGGTTGGGGGTCACCACAACATGAGGAACTGTATTAAAGGGTCGCGGCACAAGGAAGGTTGAGAACCACTGCTTTAGAGACTTGCCGGGGGACGTGGTGTCACCATGGGCTGCGGTTCATGCCACCCAGTCAGCAAAGTTGGTTCTTACCGAGCCCTAGTTGGGTAACCTGTTTGTCACATTACAGGAATTATTTCAGTTGTACTTCTTTCTATTCTATTTTAGTTGTAGTTCTTTCTAGTTTCCCGAGAAATGAGAAAAATCACTCCCCAACACAGTTTTGAACTATGTTCTGTTTAAAAGTCGGACATGATTTGGGCTGAAATTTTAGTAACTTCAACCAGTTGCGACAAAGGATACCTGTATATACTGAATATTATTTTATCTTTATTACAGAAGAGAAAGCGTTTTTGTTGCTTTTTTTCTTAACAATAAATGAGGGTTGAATGCAGTGGCTTATGTGTTTACTGCAGAAAATGCTCGACTACCTCAAGGAGAAGAAGGATGTGGGTTTCTTCCAGAGCCTCGCGGGCCTGATGCAGTCATGCAGGTGAGCCCCTGATGCAGTCATTCAAGGGAGCCCCATGCAGTCATGCAGGTGAGCCCCTGATGCAGTCATTCAAGGGAGCCCCATGCAGTCATGCAGGTGAGCCCCTGATGCAGTCATTCAAGGGAGCCCCATGCAGTCATGCAGGTGAGCCCCTGATGCAGTCATTTAAGGGAGCCCCATGCAGTCATGCAGGTGAGCCCCATACAGTCATGCAGGTGAGCCCCAATGCGTCATGCAGGTGAGCCCCCGTGCAGTCATGCAGGTGAGCCCCTGATGCAGTCATGCAGGGGAGCCCCCGTGCAGTCAGGCAGGTGAGCCCCCGTGCAGTCAGGCAGGGGAGCCCCTGTGCAGTCAGGCAGGGGAGCCCAACACAGGCAGGGGAGCCCCCGTGCAGTCATGCAGGGGAGCCCCCACTCGCTGTTTCCGTTCTAACTCAGGTGGTATTTTTCAAAGTGTTTACATTAGGGACAATAATTAACACAGAAGAACATTTAATGATGAAACACTTTAAAGGGGGCGGAAGTTGCTGTCTTATTTTCTATCTTGGTGTTGTGTTAATAATATTTTAATTACTAAGTTACTCGATGTTAATGATGTGTTAAAACAATCCTTGCTGTGCTTAATATAGGGGCCTGGAATTGCTGTGCCCTCTGCAACCCTTTAATATGAGTGGCACATGATTTTTAAAAGAAAAAAGAAAATTCTACTTAGTTTTATTTGGGAGCTTATAGACCATTTCTCATTTTTCCTAAACAAATGGACCTCAACTAATTTATGATAATTACTTTCTAGTTTTACAGCATTTAAAATCAGACAGTATTTGACCAAGGCCCCTGGCACACACTGAGTGTAATAAGCTATTCCACGTGGGAAAACGCGGTCATTGTAATTATATTTAAGTATGTCTGCCAACTTTATAATGTGGTCCCAGTGGAGCCCACGATGGCTCACATTGGACTTCACAGGGGTCAGTTCAGCATGGGCTCTGGGAGAGACTCATCCGCCACCAGGAAGGGGGCTGGTGGGCCTTGAGCTGGGGCGCGTTTGCAGTGTATGTTGACATCAGTTCACATTTCAAGACACGCGGTTTCCAGACATTTGCTCCTCCGAGTCCTCTGAGTGCGTTTCTCCCTGTCATTGCAGCGTCCTCGACCTAAACGCCTTTGAGCGGCAGAACAAAGCTGAAGGGCTGGGGATGGTGACCGAGGAAGGATCAGGTATGGGTTAGATGGTGACAAAGAAGGATCAGGTATGGATTCCTTCAAGTAGAAGGTCGCCTGCTCCCCCTTCCTTCCTGAAACGAATCAGCTATCAGTTACCTTTTCAATACAGAGAGACACAGGTTTTCTTTAAATGGACAAAATGCTTATGTGACTCATTTAAAGCCCCTAATTGGCCACTCAAGCAGGTCACACCCAAATCCAACCGTATTGTTACCGGCTGTCGGTGGCCTTCCCCTACTTGGGTGGTAGAAGAAGATCCCTATTAGAGAATTATCCACAAAGTGAGAAAGCGCATGGTGAACACATTAGGAACATGCCTCCGCCAGCCGGCTGTCAGGTCCCCCAGACATCGCTGCCTGCTGCCTCCTCCCGGCAGCTGTCCTGTATCTCACAGACCCAGGCATCTTTGCAAGCGCAAATTCTTTGATGAAGGAAATTGAAGAGTAATGTTTGTTTCGATAACTCTGATCACAATTTACATGCGCACAAAAACGACTCACATACTCTTAGAGTTTTTCCTCTCTATAAATAGATGCATATATAAGCTAGGAAAATGAGCACATGGAGCAGTGGAAGCAGAAATAACTATTGTTGCACACTTATTTTAATATTTATTAAGAAAAAAATCTTCAATATTTTTTTATTTGTTTTTATTCTTTTGTGTTTGATTTTTAAATTAACTTAGTTTTGGTAAGCCTCTATGTGTTTATCTGTTTTTGTGTGTTTGGTCTGGTTTGGAGTTATCGATATAGCAGTTTTGGAACATTGGTTTTTCTATTAAGCCAATCTTGCTGCAAACAATAAATTTCCTCCCACCTGCCATTGGTAGACTGCTGGCCTTTCTGAGATCATTTAGAATGAACTAATCTCTCTATCTCTGTATATTTTTGTTCTCGCAGTAGGAAAAAGAATTAGTGCATATTTCTTGCTGGATTTGAAAGACAATCATTTAGACATATTCTAATGCCGCTGCCATTCCTGTGTGGTTTCTCTTGTGTTTGGCAGTTGAATGTGTAGGTTCCATCACCAAGTAGCAGTGTACAATAACTTAATTGTGTGAGCTACCTTCAAGATAACCCCAGCAGCAGCCTACTTAGGTTTTCTGAGAATGCATATGAAGGAAAATGTCTTGGAGTTAGTGTCACAGTCCCACCCCTGGCCTGAGGGCCCGAGGGGAGCTCAGAGCCACAGTCTCGGGCCTGCCTCTCCCCCGGAGTCTGGGGCAGGTCCCAACTATAAAGGGCCTGAAAATGAGTGAATTCTCTGTTCAAAGTCTGACTTGCCTGTCTTGGAATTAGAACTTTCATTTTTCCTTGATGCTGCCCCTAAAATTACTAATGCTCTAAACACAATGTCAGGAATCGTTAGCCAGTTCATGGCTGCCACCCAGGATTCATTTCCTGGGTCTTCTGCCTGTTGTCAGCCAGGGGAGGATGCAACACCTGTGACCCCAAATCAGAAACAGCTGGGTGGGCGCGGCAGGCTCCTGCGACAATCGCCATCTCTCAATAGGAGCTTGATCTGATTTGTCTGTGCTTTGTCAACACACACGCCAAGTATTGCCCAAACTGATGGACGCCTTTTCTATTTCATTCCTTACTAACAGCAAGACAAAAACAAACCTCACCTTTTCTCTTCCCCCATTTCCTTTTCTTCCGACTTCTGTGCGCACTGTCCTCCCTTCTGCAGCCGTCACTCACGAGCATGGTAACTATCCAATGAGCCGCCCGTGGCCACTGACTCCCCGATTGCTGCGGCTTTTCCCTGGACAGTGGCAGTCTGGGCGCTTTCCTCTTATAGACCTTCCATAGGCCGTTTTAACAAGTAGATCGTTTCCTTTCGACTATTACGCATCCTGTTATTTAAAAAATGCATATACCAATATTTTCTTTTTTCCCCTTTTTCTCTGAGGATATGCATATTAGACACAAAGGAGCAACAAGCACTTAAATTAAGTTTTTGGATGTTCTGTTCTGTTTCTTTCATTTAAAAAGTCTGGGAGACCCAGTGTTTGCGACAGTTGTGAACACGGGTGACTGCGGGGTGCAGGGTCTCCCGGGGCCTCTCTGTCGGGGACGCACTGGGGCTTTATGGCTGCGCAGCTGGGGCACCGGACACCAGCGGCCCCAGCCTCTGCCCTTCCCTCCACGCACTGAGCGGGCGTGGGCTCCTCTCTTCCTTTCAGAGCATCACAGGTTAAAACTAATGGTTATTCTTCAGACCGAATTGAAAGAACTCTAGGATAATAGAATATTTGCTCTTCAAACTCATATAACAAAGTTGGTATTAACATTTCAGATCGTCTCTAAAAGGCATACAAGGGGGATAAGGAAGGGGTTGAGGTGATAGGACTTTCCAGAGCAAGATCAGCTAAATGGACTCTGACTTCCGGCATATTTTAAAAGCGTGAGACACAGCCATTCTGTTAAGATTTTACAAAAGATAAGAAAAGCATGTCCCCTCATCAGAGAAGGAAAGTGGCTCATTCCTCTGCAGTCAAACGCAGAGAAACCTGAAAAGTATAAACTGTGAGTGATGTCGCTCCCGGGCTTGAAGCTCCTGCTCTGGGCCACCGTCTGCCCGAGCTCAGTCTTCCCTGTCGTCATTCGCTGTCTTGCTGGGATGATGAAATGGCCGAGGAAAATGTGTCACTTAAGCACATAAACCTTTTGCTACCCACCCACAACCCTACAAGGAGGCGTTGTCCCACTTTATTTTTTGTTTCTTTTAAATATATTTTTATTGATTTCAGAAAGGAAGGGGGAGGGAGGAAGAGAGATAGAAACATCAATGAGAGAGAATCATTGATCAGCTGCCTCCTGCACGCCCCCTACTGGCAATTGAGCCTGTAACCTGGGCATGTGCCCTGACCGGGAATGGAACCGGGACCTCCTGGTTCATAAGTCGACGCTCAACCACCGAGCCACACCAGCCGGGCAGGCTGTGCCTTTATTTAGTGTTATCACCACCTCTACTAACACTGAGCTCTCCACATTTGTAGAAATGGTCATGCAGGTTGTGAAGAGCCAGTGAGGGCAGAGCACTTTATCCCCATTTTATAGATGAGAAGACTAAGGCAGAGAGAACCACTCGCCCTCAGCAGCGACATTTCAATAACCCTCCTTTATTATAGTGTCAGAAATTCAAGCCCTTGTCATTAAAACCACCGGCAAAGGAACACTCGCCCTCAGCAGCGACATTTCAATAACCCTCCTTCATTATAGTGTCATTAAAACCACCGGCAAAAGAGAGCTCCTCACAGTAGGTACATCTGGCAGTGACCACAGGCAACCTTGCTATGAGGCTGGAGGCTGGTGCCCAGGAGGACGTGCTTGCCGCCAGTACTGACAGAGGCCTGTCTGTTGTGATGACGGGTCAGCCCTGCAGGGGGTGCTCAGCCCCAGCTCAGCCACGAGAGCCGGGCCGCGTCCCGCTTTCTGTGCTGCATCACTGCCTGGCAGCCCTTTGTAGCCATCTCACTATTCCGATCAGTTGTTCTGATGTGGAGAAGACAGGTGGCCGGTGGAGAAAGACACACCGGAGAGATCTATGTAGGGAGCTCTGTGGCTTGGTGTCCTCTGTGCCCCTGGTGCCCGGGGACGGTGCCACAGCATCACCTAGGATGTGTTCACCTGGCGGGAGTGGAGGCTCCCCCCTCCCCCAATTCTTCTGCTGTGAGCAGGTGTCCTCCTGTAAGTGAAGCTATGGTGTGCGTATACGGTTGAGAGGAAATACTGCGCAGGCCAGCAATGGCTGGCACCCTGGTGTAGACGAGGGTGCGGTGCACTGAGCATGTCAGGCCCACAGGGGGAGCCGTGACATTGACCTCAGTGTCAACTGTTCTGTGTCCTCTCTCTCAACGGTTACTCACTGCACTTGAATATATGCACATTGAAAGTATGTGCATGGCTTATGGATTTGATTTTCTGGGGAAAAACATTTCAACAGGCTCCCAAGAATCAGTCATCCATGGAACTGCTAATCTTTTTATCTGAGTCTCATTTTAAAGGCCCTTCTGGTGATGCTGAGTGTCATGGATGATGAGTTTGGTTTCTCGGCCCAGACTGTTCTCTCTCCTTTGTCCCGTCGTGAACATAAACCCTAAGGAATGGGCTTAGCAGCCATGTGAGGAGATTCAAACCACGTGCTTCTAGCGGGCGAACTTGCCACAGCCCTGGCTGCTCACCTGGTGATTTTAGTTTGGTCGCCAAATAGCGTATCTTACAGTCTCACAGGGAAACCAGTACAGTGATGTCATGTACTTTTTTAAATGTTTATATTAAAAACATAATGGTTTTGCTTCCTAATCCTCCCATTCTATGAGCCTGTCACTTTGAAAGTCACAGATGCAGACTGGTAAGTCCATCTGCTCCGCCATTGTCATCGTCACTGCCATCCAGGTGCACACGCACCATCGCAGCTCTCTCGGCCGGAAGTGCTCCCAGTCTGAGGAGTTATTATTTTTTAAACATATAAATACATTCATCCACTTGCCAAACAACATTTTTTGTCATTTTTATTCCTAAACTATATGTTGAATGCTCATATATTGAACATTTTCTTCACTGACCCTTTTTGCTTAAAAATCAGCTTGCAGTGTGTGGTACAGGTTTTCTGTTTGTTTCTTTGTGCTTCTGCTTTCGAAGTCGCTTGTGATGAAGATACATTTAAATTGAAATGTAGGTGGAATGACAGCCCCTTCCCCACAAGCACATTAGCTCCCATGATGCAGCGTAAGCAGGTGTAACTGTAACACTGGTCATTGATGCAGTAATCACTCCTGTCCACATCTATCAGAAATTAGAGGGTGAGAACAAAAGTTTAAACCCTCAGGTTGCTCCTAAAATGTTGCCAAGCCCATGCTGCTCCTCTTAACAGAGAGAAACCTGGGTGTTAAGGTTCACAGGCTCTTTTCTGACAAAGAAAATGGGCTTCTATCTGCCAAGCGCATGGTCTCGTGAGCTTCAGATAGAGGCGGGCTGCCCTGTGCCTG